TATATCTCTTTCCCATCGCTCATTCGTGTTCACACAAAGAGGAAACCGCGAAGGCATGCTTGATGTTTAGTTGTTCTAGAAGTTGGTGGGAGGCGGGGAGGTGGAAGGTCCTGGCATGTGCCTCTAATTTATTTCCTCCTCCTTTCCCAAGAGTGGGAGAGAAAATATTTGGGAACTTGGTGTTATTCAAGTGTCCATGCTGTCTCTCGGCTTTGCTCTCACCTACAGGCCCGTTCGCTGGTTCCCTGGATTAAGAACAGGCTAAGAATGAGCTTCGGTCTCTAGACTCCTTCCATCAGGATCACAGATTCCGAGTTTGTGTGGGCTACGAAAAGCTACCAGTGACCCATTTCTCTTCCGGAAAGACTCTTTTGATATTTGCTCTGTCTTTTATGGGATCCTCCTGATGCATCGACCGCTTTGCCCTTGACAACCACAGAGCGGAGGCCCGGGCCTCCAGGAGGGCCTTTCCTCTTCCCTCCCCTCACCCTTCTCCATCTCTCCCTTCCCAGCCCATCCTCAGCAGGTTGTGCGTGTCCACAGCACAGCACACACTCTGAGTCTCCTGAAATGCAAACTCCGTGGATGGTGGTTTTCCCGTCACAGGTCCTGAACCCAACGTGGGGTCATGGCCAGCGTTTTAAAAACAATAACATAGAAAAGAACCGAAAAGCTGGGTCTCTGGTGCCCAACTCAAGTAAATAGGAAGCCCTGCCTGGGCGACGCCGGTGTACCCAGGGGCTGGTGGTGGAAGCGCGTCTCTTGCTGTGGGTGGCTGAGAAACCCGGGTTATTGGGGGCCGAGTCCTCTGTGGGCAGGGAAGGCTGTATTTACCCCAAAGGCTTGGACTTCATGGGGTGGTGTCCAAGGGCTCTGGTGGACCTCAGGGCTCTTGTCCAGCAACAGCTTTCCAATGTCTCCAGGTCACTGTCGGTCCTAAAGTTGATCCCCAAGTGCTGCCGGCAGCCCCCTGTCCCCACCTCCCTCTGTGATCCCAGGCCTCAGAAATCCTGTCTGGACAACCTCCCTGGCCTGCCCCGCCGTGAAGCAGGGGCTTCTCTCTCCAGGCCAGGATGCTCTTGAGAAGGTGGGCCTGGGGCTGATCTCCCAGAAACCCTCTTCCTGGCTTCTCCTGCCCACTGGGTCTCTGACCGCTGCAGCCCCAGACTGCCCGCACCAGGGCTAGGCCACGTTGACCATGGCCTGGCAAGACTCTGGGGGCCGTGGGACGGGCTGTAGGCCAGGGGACTCCCAAGAGGGGTGCTGAGACCCTGCCTGTGGCACTCACCCTTGGATAACTGTCTACTGGCTTTTTAAAGGTCCCTGAAACCCCACGATTTCAAGGCCAAGAGAGAACTTCAATCTTCAGCTGAAAGATCAGCGGTGGGTGCAACACTACTCCATCTATTATCGACCTCTGTTCCATGGTTTAACCACAATTGTCTCAAGAAACGTTTATTGGGCAGCTATTTTTCTGGGCCAGGCCCCGTTCGAAATGCCAAGACTGGGCTGGGTACCGGACAGGAAGTGGAACTCACCAGCTGGCCTCGGAATCCCGCTTCCTCTCCACGAGACGGTGATTCCCCCCGAACAGTCCGGACCCTCCAGATCAAAGCAATATGACGTCATCCTTGTTCCCAGAGGGGTGCGGGTGAAATGCTGTAGTGTCTCGGGGCAAGGACCTGTCCCCGGACCAGGGGACCATGAGAAAAGTCTTACTTTGAAAGGAGGGTCCCCTGAGCCGAGTCGGGGCACATGACTGGAGTGAGTGGCTGGACCCACGGGCCCTCCCGCTGCAGGACAATGAGCTTCCTGTGAAAAGCCGCCAGGGAGGGGTCGCCCTGTGGGCCACGGGCAGCCAGCACCCAACCAGAGCCGTGGTCACCCAGCGGCTGGGGAGGCTGAGGCAGGTGCCCCCCACCCACTCAAGACAAATGTCCTGGACAAAATGAAAGAGTCTCAAGTTACAAGGTTAGCCGGTCACTCCAGATGACCAAAGAGGCAGAAGTTCTTCCAGGTTCATGGTCCACTTGGGGGCGTTCCTTGAGCCTTATAGCAAAAGTATTAGAAAAATGGAGCTTTTTCCTTTTCATCCTAAAATGCTGGCCCCCGAGGTCCCCGAGGCCTTTACGGGTGTCGCCCCAGCGGCCATCACCAGGGCCTTCTGCTCCTCGGTACCTGATGTTGGCTCCCACGAGCTCCGCCCACCTCCGTCACCTCTGCGCCTGGACGCCCAGCTGGCCGGCTCTGCAAGACCCAGGAGGTCTCTGCTCTTCCCCCAGGTCAGGGCCCGTTTCCTGCCGCCTGCTGCACACAGTGAGTGCTGTGTTGGGAGGGAGGGTCCCCCATTAGGGCCTGGGAGTGTCCCTCAAAGGCCCCTGTGTTCAAGGGTTGTCCCAGCCCGTGGGCCACTGGGAGATGGTGGGACCCTTGAGAGGCGGGGCCTGGTGGAAGGAGGGTAGAGCCCTGGGGGTCATGCCCTTGAAAAGGATATAGGGACCCTGGCACTTTCCTGTCTCTCTCTCTCTCTCTGTGTTTCCTGTCCACCATGGGGCAAGCATCCTCCTCTGCCACCTGCTCCTGCCAGGATGTTCTGTGCTGCCACAGCCCCAGAGGCAACCAGGTCAAGTGACCACAGACAGAAACTGCTGAAACTACTGAGTCAGAACAAACCTTTTTCTTTATAAAGTTTCTTTTCTCAGGCATTGTGTCACAGCAATGGAAATCTAGCACACACGATTCTCCAGATGGACAGTGATGGACAGTTTCCTGCTGGATTAAAACAGAGGAATTAAATGAGAATTCACGGCATTTGGACCAGAACAGAATGGAACACAAACCTCAGAAAGAGACTCTAGTATATTGAAGAATGTAATACTACCTCCTGAGTCAAAGAATATTTCCTTGGTGGACTTAGCAATGAAGCAGCATTCCCAATGTAAGCCCTAGGTACGTCCCACGTCATCCAGCTTTTGCACAGCTGCAAAGAAAACACGCACGGTAGTCACGGATTACCTAGTGACGGGGCTGTGTCCTGAGAAATGCATTGGTGACAACCTCATCACCCTGCACACCTCCGAGGGTGTAAACCAGCATGGCTCAAATAGCTCAACCCCTCCACCTGGCCTCTTGTTGCCACCGAGAGACGCAGAAATCATCAGGCCTGTGAGGCAGTTGCTGGGGTCACACAGAGAACTTGTTTGTTATAAGGAGAATGAGCACCCCCTGGAATGATAATAAACAGGATCGCCGAGCAAATTCACAAGCCAGCAATGCCATCGCCTATGGAGCTGGCCGGGCACGACGCGCTCGGTGTCCCTGTTGGCACTTTCTCTCCACCAGCATTGCCATAAACACAGCCGCCACCCCATGACCTCACAGGCCAGCCCTGTCACTAGCCAACCCCGTCAGCGTCTCGGGGACCACTGTCTTGGCCTTATGGCCCGCGATGTCCTATGGCACAGCACTGCTCTCCGTTTCATAGGTGCTCAGGAATTGTCGAGATTGTGCTGGAAAGTGGCTTAAACAAATTCATTTTTAAAAACATTCCCAAGCATCTTCTTCAGAACTATTTTTTCCATCCCAAAGGTCAATACAGGGGCTACCAGATGTCTCTCCCTTTCCCACCCACAGCTCCCGTGTGGCTCCTCGGGTGACCTCTGTTCCCTCCTGCTCTGGGCTACCCCGGTGGCCCCAGGACTTCCCATTCCACTTGCCCCCATGCCACCCCCCTCTGGGACAGCAGGAGCCGCTGGAATTTCCACCCCCCATCCTCCCTGGCTCCCTGCGGAGAAGAGCCTACCACAGGCCCCCAGAGACAGAACCTCGTGCCTGGCTGCTTCAGGAAACAAGTTCCCCACCTTCAACAGATCAGTGAGGAGGGATCACTCAGTGACTGGCAGCTGGCACCACTGGTTACCTGCTTGGGAACAAATGCTCCATTTCCCACCTCACACCAAGACACCTTCCAGATGGGTCGAAAAGCCTACAACCAACCTAAATGAGCTACGGAAACGCAGATGGATGCCCAGGAGGCGTCATGCAACCACCGACCCTGGCAGCCACTTCATAAGCATACACAGCCCTGCATGCCCCAGAGTGCCCCCGAAGCCTTGGGAATGAATATTGGCAACAGCTCCAACCCGTAAATGTTCATTCTTGCTCACTTCTGAAAAAAATGCTCACAAATCAATATGAAAAAGACATGCTTCCATGAGAGAATGGGCAAAAGAGGCAAACAGAAAATTTGCAGACGAGAAAAAACAGCGGATAGAGATATAGATAGATACAGATATATACACGCATACCAGGGATTGAGCTTAGGGATGCTTACCACTGAGCCACATCCCCTGTCCTCTTATGTTTTATTTTGAGACAGGTTCTCCCTAAGTTGCTTAGGGCCTCACTAAATTGCTGAGGCTGGCTTTGAACTCCTGATCCTGAGCTACATCCCCAGCCCTTTCTGTTTTTATTTTGAGACAAGATCTCACTAAGTTGTGGAGGCTGGCCTCAAACTTGCACTCCTCCTGCCTCAGCCTCCCGAGTAGTAAGGATTACAGGTGTGGGCCACTGTATCCAGCTTGAATTTATTTTTTCAAAATCCAAATGGCAAGGTAAGAGAGACAGCAGCTACGCAGCATGGGAAGCTAGAGACTGGGTTTTAGTATCTCAGTATAGGACAGGTGGAAGAAAGGCCAGAAGGACTTTTGTGTTTCAAATTATGTTAAAACCTCAGCATTGCTGTGAACAACTGGGAAAACAGTTGCTGTTGGTGCACTGCCAGATGGTACAGCTCTGAAGTTACTCAGGAAGCTGAAACCCAGTGCTGGGGATATCTTTCTTTTCCCCTTTCCTTTTTATTTACTGTTCTGCGGTTCTTTTTAGGTACACGTGACAGTAGAGTGGATTTTGACACATGGAGCATCACCTCCCATTCTGTAGTCTACATGATGTGGAGTTCACTGTTCGTGTGTTCAGATACGAACTCAGGAGAGTGACTTCCATTCATCCTACTGTCTCCTTCCCTTCCTTCCCCTTGGTGGACTCCAGTGAGCCTCTGTTCTCCCTCCCCAGGCTGTGTGCTAGCCCCTTGGTTTCTGGTTACTCCCGGGTCTGGATCCAGCCAACTCCACCCAAACTCCAGTGAGTTCCCTGGGACTCCTGCGCGTGCTCTGCTCCCAGCCACCGTGGCCTGTCACCTGGATGGCTGCCGCCGTCCCCTGCTTCTGCTGGATCTAATCAGGAGGTTGGTAAACTTTTCCAGGAAGGACCCAGGCAGGAAACCTCGTGGGCTCTGCTGTCCCGTGGGTTGCTGTCCCGGTTACTCTCGCGCCACGTCAACAGCCGTGGGTACTAAACGGACGGGCACTGAGATCCACAGAGTTTTCATGAGGCGCGAAATATCAGTCTCTTTTGATTTTCCCGACAATGTAAGGTGCACAAAACTGATCTCGGCTCCCAGGCTGCTCCGAGCCGCTGAAGGGAGCCAATTGGGCGCTTCACCCGCCTCCTCCTGGATTCACCTCTGGATGGACCAGCTCTGACACCTGCCAGGTGACGTCACTGCTCGGTCTAACCTTCCCACGGGGCCCATCTCTCCTCTGGGGCTGCCACCCCGTCCTGATCCCGCTCCCCACCCAGCTCTCCACAGCGTGCACCCCTTCCTCGCCCTTCCGTGTTCTATCATCTGTGGGTTTATTGTTCCCTAAAGCAGGAGGGCAGTTCCACCAGGCAAGGACTCCTGTCCCCAGCTTCCAGAACAGCGAGGGACATGCAGTGAGCCCTCCACCAATTTCATTAAGTGAATGAACAAGTGGGTGAGTGAGTGAGTTCTGGCCGGTCCCTATCATCAGTCCCAGGAATCGAGGAAATCAAACATCATTCTCCTCGTTTCTGGTGAGTTTGATTCCTGGCACAGGATGGATTTTATTTTATTTTATTTTATTTTAGAGAGAAGGAAGAGTTTATTTGGGGGTCGCAGTTCCAGAGGTCTCAGTTCATACACGGCCCACCCTGTTGCTCTGGGCCCCAGGTGAGCAGGACAGAGAAGGGTGCGGTGGAGAAAGCAGCTCAGGACGCGGGACCGAGCGCTCTCCTCGGCTCAGGAAGGTCATTTCCAGTAATTGAGGCTAGTGATCATCGTTTTCTTAGTTCGGTCCTTCACTGTAAAGCAATCATTTAAAAAGAGCGAGGGGCAGGTCTGATCCACATTCGGTCCAATATTTCACGTCTGAAGTCAAGTCGGTACTGAGTGGAAAGAGACTCCTCCGGCAGGTTGCGCCTCACCTCGGTTTTTAACACCAATATGGGCTCCAAAGCCGGGTGCAGTGGCGCAGGCCTGCCATCCCCGCGGCTCGGGAGGCTGAGGCAGGAGGATCGCGAGTTCAAAGCCAGCCTCAGCCACTTAGCAGGGTCCTGAGCAACTTGATGAGACCTCTGTCTCAAAATTAAAAATTAAAAAGGGGGTAGGGGCTGGGGCTGGGGCTCAGTTAAAAAAAAATGCTGCTGCCGGTGGTCCCGCGGAGGGTCAGAACTGGGCCACGTCGCCTGGACATCTTGTCCCTACAGTCACTGAGCTGGGGCTGTGTGGGTTTCTGCCGCCAGGCAGGACTGGGCCGTGCTGAGGGGTGGGGGGCCTCACCTGCTCTTGCTGCCAATGCAAAAGGTGCTGGGTCCCTGGGAATGCAGAGCCCACCTGCTCCTGGGGCTGGTCCAGGTGAACCCCCACCAGAGGTCATTGAGGTTATCACTAAAGTCATCGTTGTTGTTATTATTATTATTCTCCATTATTAAAGCCCAGCAGTAATCGGCAGCGCTGGCTGGGCTGTTCCGACCTTAGACCAACACCTTTCCCCCCGCAGCCGGAGCCCCTGACCCTGGGCATCCTATAGAACAGGGCACAGCCCTTGCTGTGGTTGAGGGTGGCTCTGTCTCACACAAGCCACCCCCTCTGCCCCGGGGGACCCCACCCGTGCCCCCTCCCATGTCATTTCTCGGGTTGGGGAGTCTCTGATCCTCCCTGGTAGTCACCAGCCGCAGCCAGGTGCTGGGAGCGAGCTTCCACACGCCCAGCTCCAAGGGTGCAGCCCACCCACCCTGCCACCCTGGGAGTGAGAGGGGGAAGAACCCAAGAGAGGTCGACTCCAAAACCTTTATTTCACAAAGAAAAAAAATCTTATTTATGTGATGCTTTTTTAAGGAAAAAAAAAAAGCACATTATTTTATTTGGTTCTTCTCCAAGCCTTTCAAGTGCGCAGGGTTAAGCGTTATTGCCGGCTTGGAAGACAGACAGGAGGCTCCAGAAGTTAATGAGAGGCCCCAAATTGCTAGAAGGGTAGATTTTAAATGTTCTCACCATGAAGGCATGAAAAGTATGTGATGGGAGGGGACATGCTAATTAGCCTGATCCCATCACCCCCAGTGCGTCAGTGTACCCAGCACCACTGCTCCCCAAACGCCACGCTGCCCTCCAAACATACAGACCATTGTTAATAACAATCATTATTATTTAAATAAAAATTCAAAATAAGTAAGTAAATGACATACCCCAGGCCACACAACCTGCTAAGTCCCCAACTCTACTGTGGGACTCGCAAGGGCACACAGTATTTGTATTTGCTCTTTGCAATGATGTTGAATTCGAAGCCATGTGCTTACACTGCCAGATCTGGAGACTATTATTCCAACAGAGGTACCATTTCACAACCCGCAGAGTAGCGGAGGAGCTGCAGTTTCCTGAGGGAAGGAGCTGGGTTTGGCTCGTCTTTGTGTTTCGGGGGCACAGACGCGTACCTGGTAAGTACTTCTTTCATGGATGACGGAAATCATGGGGCAGCTTCAGTATCTGGGCTGCACCATAGAGCCTTGTGCCCTGGGGCAGGTGGCCATGGTCAACACAGGCAATTCAGAGACCTGTGTGCCTATAGTCAAGACCAAACTGAGAAGTGTCTGCAAGCCTCACTCAAGATCCTAACTGCCATTTCTAGCACCTCCCTGCTGTGATTGGCTGTGACTTGTCCCCCAGAGGTTCCCTTGCAGGGAGCGCAGGTCCAGTGTGGCAGTGTAAGAGGTGGAGGAACCTTTAAGAGGAGGGGCCTAGCGGGAGGTACCTAGGTCCCTGGGGACTGGGCCCTCCTACAGGACCAATGCTCATCTCAGGAAATGCACTAGTTCTCAAGTGAGTCAGTCAGTTCAAAAGGAACAAGGTGGGCCCCTCTCCATCCTCTGGCTTCCTGTCTGGTCATGTGATCTCTTTCTGAAGAACCGCTATTGTGTTGCCATCTGCCATAGCCATCGTCAGAGCTAAGCCGAAGTCAGTGCCTTACCAGAGAACTGAAATGTTATGCTCCGTTTGATGAAACTGAAATGCATTCTGCTGTCATGTACGAACAAATAAAAAAAATGAGCAAATAAGTAAGAAAAAAGAGTCTTCCCCTTGAATCTCCAAAACTGTGAGCTAAATAAACCTCTTTTCTTTGTATATAACCTAACCTCAGGTATTTTGCTACAACAACAGCAATGCACGAGTACATTCCTTCAGGCAAGCACTTTCTCCTCATAACGCTATGGGAAACCTCGCCCCAAGCTGGTTAATGTAGACACCTGTGTGGAGTGTGGAGGGGAGCTGGGGGCCGACAGCCTCCTGAGGTTAACTTACCGGATGGAGCAGACGGAAAGGTCATGCTAAGGAGAGATGGCATGTTGGCTGGGACACGCCCAGAGGGTGATGGCTATCATGGTGGGCAGCCCAGGGAAGCCAAATTCAAGATGGAAATTACTTTTCTAACCTTCCAAATCTTGTCCTTCAAAAACATACTGTTAACCTGTTCTTCCTTTTAGGTGTGTCAAGAAAATTATGGCCTGTGCTCCATATCCCAGGGTTCCTGACCTGCAGGGTCTGGGGTGGGGCCTGAGCCCAGCTAAGGAGGAGTCAGAGAGACCACCCTCGGGGTGAGAGAGGAGCGGCAGGTGGCCTTCCTGGAGCCTATGTGTCCAGAATGGGGCTCTGGAGCCGAGTCAGATGAGTCACAATCCTGCAGTGCGGCCTTCAACGTCTCGGGTTCCTACCTGGGAATGGGGTTATGCCACCTTCCACAAAACCCTGAGGTTAAAGGAGAAGTCTGCAATGTGCCTAGCAAGGGGCCCACCTCCTCCTAAGCAATCATTAAACATTATTATTATTATTATTATTATTTTGAGTTTAGGACTTCCAAAATCCTGTTCTGTCGTGTTCATGACCCAAAATACATTCTCACTCTCCAACTCCCTTTTGTATTCAGGGAGAGGTAAATGATTTATACTCAAAGAACCTTCTGGAGAGTACGTTGGGAAAAGTCCTGGGCTAGGCTGAGACCCTCCACTTATAAATGGGGGTGCCGGACCTACCTCCTCTAAGGCTGCTGAGACGGAAGAAAGTCCCGTCTGTCTTAGCGAGGTCTGTCCCACAGAAAGTCCTCCCGTTAACAGTCACCTTCATCGTTACGACAGACCCCATCACCGCCGCACACAA